TGAATTCTTTCCTTAAAAAAAAAAAAATATATATATTCTCCAAATTTCATGTCATTTTTTTTTATTTTTTAAGTGGATTTTATTTTTTTTTATTTTTTACATCACTGTTCATTTTTAAACAATATTTGCTTCCCCCACCCCCTCAGGTGTAGTCCCTATAGAATTACATTCACCAATGCACCCGTGCACCATCACCATAGTCCCCTGTGCTCTGGAATTTCCTGTCTTAATTGATGCAGTAACTTCCATTTGCTCAGTCCCACAGTCAGTTATTATTTTTTTTTAAATAATAAATTTTATTTTTATATTCCCCATACAATTGCAACCCCCCCCATTCTGACCCCAATCCCTCCCTCCCGCCCCCCGCCCCCAAAAAGTGTCTCTGGTTCATAGTTTTTTGTTGATTCTGATTTTCACTTTCTTATAGTTATTCATTTTCCTGGTCCCTTATTTAAGTTTTCTAGATTCCTGCTATGAGTGAGACCATCCGGTATTTTTCCTTTTCTTTTTGGCTTATTTCGCTGAGCATGATCCCTTCCAGTGCCATCCATGTTGCTGCAAATTGCATGTGTTTATCTTTTGTGAATGTTGAGTAATATTCCATGGTGTATATGTACCACATCTTCTTGATCCAGTCATCTATTTTTGGGCATTTGGGTTGTTCCAAAGCTTAGCTATTGTAAACAGTGCTGCTATAAACATAGGGGTGCAGGTGTTCTTTGGAATTGATGTTTCTGTGTCCTTTGGGTAAATACCTAGGAGTGGAATTGCTGGATCATATGGAAGCTCTATGTTTAGTAGGTCCAGAAATCTCCACACAGCTCTCCATAGTGGTTGGACCAGTTTGCACTCCCACCAGCAGTGCAGAAGAGTTCCTTTTTCTCTGTTATTATTAATCTACTTTTTCTCCCATCAACCTTAGGGCCTATGCACAGGTTTTTCCTGATATGCTTTCCCCAACACTATCCTCATGGTTAACCACCCCCCATTCAAGTATTTATTCAAATGCTTCCATTTCAATGCCATTACCTTAGCAGCCCTATTCTAAAGTGCATCCTGCTCTATTTTCTTTCTATAGCTTTTATTAATAGGACCTCCATGAGAATGTGCCTCTTGAACATCCAACTAAAAAGGCATAATCGACTAAGGGTCCCAGCTATTGTACTCTGAGATCCACCCTTGGACTTGCATTAAAACCTTGCCTCTCTTGGGCCTCCCCGGTGGCGCAGCGGTTGAGCGCTGGGTTGCGAAGCTGCCCGCGGCCTCTGCGGCGCAGGTTCGATCCCCGGCTGCTCCCCGGCCACCGGAGGAGGGTCCCACATGGTGAGCAGACCTCTCCTGCCGCCCGCTGCTCCCCTCAGCAGTGTACTTCGGTCCTTCTGCCTGCTCTGCTCCCCGCTCTGGCTCTGGTGAATTCTCTCACCCTCCCACGCTTCTGACTGTACCCAGTGCTTGTATAAATAAATAAAAAAAAAAAAATCTTAAACAAAAAAAAACTTTGCCTCTCAAAATAAGGGGGGTGGGAATTGTATGGGGAATATAACCAAGATGAAAAAGCACACATTGTGCAAAAATGAAAAATGATGTAAAAAATATATAAAATAATAAATAAAAATATGCAGAGAAAGCATTTGAATAACTGTTCATAATAAGCACTTTCAACAAATTAGGCATGGGAGAAGAATATCTTAGCACAATAAAATCCCTAAAGATTAAAAAAAAAAAAAAAAACCCAACCTTGCCTCTCAGACACCACTCCCAGTCAGTGATTGGGTATGGCAGGAATGCTAAGGCAGGGCAGTCCCTGGGAGACACAGAACCTCTCTGATAACTGACTTTGGCATCAGAATTCTCTGAGGACCTTGCCATTCTTCCTCAGATTGCACTCTGAATTAAACAATTTCCACCTAACTTTCTCTTTCTTCCTCACTCAGATCAGACTTGCACCATGCCCTCTCATACCTTCCCAGCTTCAGGCTTTTCTGCCCACCTCACCGTTTTCTTTCATACAATTATTCCCTAGCAAAATACAATATATTTAAGCCATCTTGGCATTTGTTTCTCAATTAATATAATCATCCTCTCAGCTACAATATTTTGCATACTTGTGTCTTTCATTGTGTCCTAGAATATAAGAGCCAGGAGAGCCAGAATTTTTTTTGCCAAGGTATCCCATACACCTAGCATGGTGATAATACATCATAGGTGCTTAGTATACAGTTGCAGAATAAATGAATAGCAAATGCTTTAAAATATGAGCAATTACCAGCATTATCAGCTAAATAAATGAACAAACACGTGACAATAGCAATCAGTTGTCACGACTCTGCTTCCTCCTAAATTTCCGGATCTTTCTATTTTATCCAGTCCTCTCCTACACTGGAAAGCCCTTAGGTTTTCCCATTGCAGAAATGAAATCTGAGAGGTAAATTTTTTTTAGGAAAAGATCCAATCTAATAATTGGGTGACTGCCCATCTGTTCTGGGCAGCAAATACACAATTCTGATTGAGATATTTCTCACTACCACTCTCTTTAATTTCAGCCAGGATCTGCAGATAAACAAAATCAAAGCAAGAAGATGTGGTACATATACACCATGGAATATTACTCAGCATTCAAAAAAGATAAACACATGCAATTTGCAACAACATGGATGGCGCTGGAAGGGATCATGCTCAGCGAAATAAGCCAGAAAGAAAAAGAAAAATACCAGATGGTCTCACTCATAGCAGGAATCTAGAGAACTTAAATAAGGGACCAGGAAAATGAATAACTATAAGAAAGTGAAAATCAAAATCAACAAAAATCTATGAACCAGAGACACTTTTGGGGGGGTGGGGGAGGGAGGGGAGGGATTGGGGTCAAAATGGGGGGGTTGAAATTGTATGGGGAATATAAAAATAAAATTTATTATAAAAAAAGAAATTGTATGGGGAATATAAAAATAAAATTTATTATTAATTTAAAAAAATACATTAAAAAAAGTTTTGCAGGGTTTTTTTTTTTTAAGCTTAAATATCCATCCAATAGTAATGAAACTTGGTACACATATGACCAGTTGTGCTATTCTCTAGCCACCCAAAATGTGTCTTGGGTATATGGAGCAAGGACAAACTACTCTCAAGTATGATGTCAGATTCTTGAAACTGGTGGGTTTCCTCTTAGCGTTCAATGGTTGGGTAGCTCCAAATGACAATATGGAGAGATCTTCTCTGACTAGGGCCACTAAATTTATCCAGAGGGGATTTCCACAGGGTTCTACGTGAGGGGTTTGCATACAGCTGCAAGTATTATCAGAAAAAGATGGAAAGGAAGATGGGAGTCCAATTTGTTCTCATAAAGACTGATCAGCCTTCAGCCTGTATCTTGATTTGCCCTGTTTCCTTGGGCAGGACTTGATGAATGGCTATTATAAAGTCAGAGCCCACCTTCCAATCTTGGCATTGCTACTTATTAGCTATAGGAAAGTTAATTCTCTGAAGATCAGTTTTCTCATTTTAAAAATAGGGATATTCAAGGGGCCTCTCTGGTGGCGCAGCGGTTGAGCACTGGGTTGCAAAGCTGCCCGCAGCCTCTGCAGCACGGGTTTGATTCTCGGCTGCTCCCCGGCCACCAGAGGAGGTCCCACATGGCGTGCAGACCTCTCCTGCTGCCCGCTGCTCCCCTCAGCAGTGTACTTCGGTCCTTCTGCCTGCTCTGCTCCCCGCTCTGGCTCTGGTGAATTCTCTCACCCTCCTGCGCTTCTGACTGTACCCAGTGCTTGCATAAATAAATAAATACATAAATACATAAATACATAAATAAATAAATCTATCTTTAAAAAATAAATAAATAAAAATAGGGATATTCAGAACAGGGAAGGGAAGAGCACAGAGACTATGATGACAGTTCATGGATGACTTGTTGGTGGGAATTCTATGGGGATTACAACTGAAAGGAACAACAATATAATATATATATATAAATAAAAAATAATGAAAATTAAAAATAGGTGTATTATGTATATGATGTGATGAATATTAAATAAACTTATTATGGCAACCATGTCATAAGATATGAATATCATAAGATATCATATCATAAGATATGAATATCAAATCACCTTAAGCTTACACAGGGCTGTATGACAACTTTATCTCAACAAAACTGGATCAACATTGGGATGACAGCACCTTTCAGAGCATTTTAAGATAAATAGGATTCAAAGCCTATAGAAAGTGCTCAGCAAATATTAGCTGTTATTATTACTGACATCAGCAATGTGAAAGAAATTAAACCATATGTTCAGTGTTTGAGTTGTCCTTTTAACCTCTTCAGCTGAATATTGATAGGAAGATACTTGAGAGCATCAAGGATATAACAATGAGGTAATTAAGGTTTACTACATCAAAATTTAATTAAAGAAGTAGTAGAAGAAATAAAACAGAGTCCAGCATTCAGGTTTCCCAACGTCTGCTTTGACCTGCGAGTATCACTGGCCTTGCCTTCTTTTTCCCAAAGAACAAGGGATGAGCCACATAGTGTCAGGACGTGTGAGTTGTAACTCACTTTCAAAGGCTCGCTCCTTTCTCTTGCATAACTGGTGAGGTCAAAATGGGCACCTTCCTGAAAGCCAAGAGTGTCATTTCTGAACAACGTCCAAGAAAGAACTACATTCCACAGAAATCCCAGACAAGAAATAACAGAGGGTGGCACTTGACATTTAAACCACACTGAACACTGCAGGTGGGCCAGCCTCTTAATAGGGTCGTATTAACACCTTTGATTTCTCCATGACCTAAAGATTCCAAAGTTAGTAACAGACCATGGGAGTGGGCGGGAGCAGAGGAGGCAGGACAGCCTGATACAAATTTATCTCTATATTAAGTTCCAAAAGTAACTGAAGAATTTTTTTTTTATTATCTAAAGCCAATCAGAGGAAGAAAGGCAAGCAAGTGACCTGGCCTGGTCAAGGTGAGGCTATCTTTGTAAACTCTGGATCAGAGTATAGGTAAACTTTGCACACACACACACACACACACACACACACTGGGATGGCTGTGTGTGGCTGGAGCCAAGGCTGATTCTCCACTCAGCAAGTGAGCTCCCTGTGCCTCTCCTAGAAAATAAGGAATTGGGGAAGGAACAGTTAATAAGAAAATGTGCCTTGCTAACTGTGCACATTACAACAAAGAGCTGGCAGCTCCTGAAGGAAAAGGGTTTGTGCCGCTGCCGTTCAAACTTGTCAGTCAACTCGTGCCAGCAGCCTCAGCGTCTGCCTCCCCAGCACACCCTCATTACATGTGTCTGTCTGGCCTGATCTGTACATCTGCTCAGAGTCGCTCCTGCCGAGTTGAGTCGGGGATTTCTGCATTTCTCACTGGTGCCAAGAGCAGATTTCTCTATCTGCTGCTTCTCTGTCACCCCGGCTCTCTCCCCCAAGGAGGCTCTCCGGCTTTTATGATAGCTTTGGACTTCCTACGCTGTCTGCCTGTCCCTGACTTCTAGAATGGAAGAAGCCGAGCTGGTGAAGGAAAGGCTGCAGGCCATCACAGTAAGTGTGCACACAGTTCTCAGTATGGGGGAGGTTGCTGAGGGGAAGGGCAGGCAAGGTGCCGGCTGCCCCTGCCGCTGAGCCCCTGTAAGTGGAAAAACAGAACTGTCATCTTCATGGACATGTCTCTGCGGCTCTCTTAACCCTTGTCAACCTCTGTAAACTCTCAGGCTTCAGAAACTGAGTACAGAGCAAATGTTCCACAACAACTATGCCTATGTTTTAAACAGCAATTAGAAGCTTTTAATTTCGTTGACTGTCACCTTCTATATATTTCAAAAATGAAGTTTTTCCTTAAATTAATGCTTGACAGACAACAGATCCGAAAACAGATCCCCGATGTGGAAACTTTTTGTAACATTAATATACAAAAAAGTTAAAATCTTTTAAAAGGGGGAGAAAAAAATAAAAGAAATGGCTTCAAACTTTTTTATTTGTAGTGTGGGAATATGTTCCAGAAAGCCTATTAGAATGAAAATGAATGTTGTTGCACTTAAACTAAGCATTAAGCAAGAGAAAAGTAGGTAAAAGCACGGATCAGATTAATTTGAAGGTATCTATTTCCAGCAGAGTCACAAACTGAATAAGATCCTGATAGAGGAATGTAATGCATGCAATGCAAAGGATTTGGAAAATATTTCATTAATACTAGGAAAGAAAATAGTGTAATTTTTTATGTTTGTTTTGGGAAAAAGTCAACGCAAGAAATGAATTACTTTCCTTAAATGATCCAGGCTTTTTTTTTTTTTTAATTTTGTAAAATCCTCTATTTGGCAGTAACCTAGAAGTCGTTTATCATTAGCTACAAATTATGACATAATTTTTTTTAAGGAAAGAAACTTTGGAAATCAACATTCAATATCTCAACATTTCTGCCACTGAAATGAACTGTACTTTTTAAAAACTAATACAAAATGTGGCTAGGATATTTTTCTTTGCTCTTCAAATTCCCATAGCATAAATAATGACACTAGCCCCAATTTAGGATTTTTATTAATGGGATACAGTATCACACAGTTCCTTACAGAAAGGATTCAGTAAGTTAAATTATTTTCTCAATCATTTAAAGACAATACTTTTGAAATGTCTAACGTGTACTCAGTACATTTCCTTTCTTCAGAAAACTTTGGTTTGGGTTGTTGTTTGTTTTGCTTTGTTCTTTTTTGTTGTTAAACTGAGACACACTTTCAGCTGTCCTGCTTTAAGGGACAGGAACTCTGTCCTCTCTGTTGTTTTTGGCGTGGGCCTTTTGCAGTCCAGCTGTTGTCTAAAGGTTACTTTATTAAACTGTGTGAACTATGTGGGCACAAGTTCCACTTTTTCTGACACTTCTATCTCCTAATTAACTAAATTAAATCCTGTTATCCAATGAAATACCCAAGCAGCTCCTTGTTTCTCATTTTTCTTGGTTGAATGGGAGCACACCCTTGCGTAAGCCCTATAACCTCCAATATTCCTTGTAACTTGTACTGGACCAGCACATGTTCCTGAGGAGTGACGGCAGAGAGTTATCCATGAAAACTAAAAATTTTTACTGAGGGTTTCATTGGCAAGTAGAGGTAGAACAATAGTTATAATGCCTAACAAGATGACAAGAGAGTAAGAAGGTTCCTGAATACACTGGAGTATGCTTTTTTAGTGATTAAAAAAACACTTTTTTGGATTATTCCACTAGCCTAAACATGCCCCATTAGAAATAATTAAGCAAATCTTCAAAGTAAAACCGCAAAGTAAATCTATTTTGAAAGTAGTATATTTGCATAAAAGTTAAAGAAAAAGGTTTATGGGGACAACTTTCCACTGGCTTACACCTCAGCAGCTAAGTCCAGTTTCATCTGTCATAACCTAGAGGGAAAATGGAGCAGTGTCAGTGCCTTATCCATGGAAACAACACATCCACTCATCTCTCTCCTGGACACCCTGGGAAATGCCAGCTTTCTCCACCCTTGCTTTACCCAGGAAGCCACCTCAGCTACTCCCTTTCCCTATGGGAAAATGAAAACACGTAGCATATGAAGAGTTTGCAGGAATTACTTCATTTTTAGAAGTGCTGAAATTTTTTGAAATCTCTGACCACGACTAAAACTTGGTGACATTTCATTTTAACTATTTTCCTCCTATTTTCCTCCACTGAAAAAAATTTTGTATACTTCAAGGGAAAAAAAATAAGACAATTAATTTCCCATTTAATCAAACACAGCAATGCACAGACTTCACTCAGGGGGACGGGAGAGAAAGGGACGCTTTTTACATTCTAAGTCTTATTTGATTTTTACATTAAAAATTGTCCCTTCAATTCCTAGCTATGAAATAAAATAGTCTCCACTGTTATATTTATTCTACCTGGTTTCAAGTGTCCAAAAAGTCATTATACCCAAAGAACGGAATTGAAAAAGCAAATGGATAGACCTGTAACTTGACAGAACCAAGTGCCAGTCTTGTTCCTCTTAAAAAAAAAAAAAAAAACAAGATTAAAGAGAATAAATAGATGGAATGTGGCACTCAGCCTCACAAATTGAAAACTAAAGTACTATAATGGTATCATTCATTTCTCATATCAGTAAATTGAATTTTAGATTACTCTGAAGTCCTCTTAGAGAGGACTTAGAGAGAATAGAGAATAAAGACTTAAAGAGAATAACAATAGAATTACAGAAGTTCTCAGAAGAGAGTGTTTAAAAGAAGGTAATTCAGTTTGGAGAGTACAAATAGGGATTCTATTTTGCATATTTACTCCATGTTTCTCCCTGGTTGCTTTCCTCAGATACTAACTCTTCCCTGACTCAATGAATGGTCAAAGTAGCTCTTAGCCAAGAGTTCAATTTTCACCTATAACTCAGAAACAGGGCTGCTTCAAACGGATTAAATATTGCATTGTTTTAAAAGTCTCTTGAGGATCTTTTCAAGTTAATACATATTTTATTTGAAAGCTGATTTTATACAAAAGGAAAGTCATTGAAGGAGACTAGTAGTTTGAAATTTGCTCTTAATGTTACTGAAACTGACAATAACAATGTCTCCAGTATTCTGGGAAAGAGGGAGCTCAAGGACAGAGAGTGCACCCTGCAGAATTTCTGGAAGTAAATATGGCCACCACTACAGAACAGTGAAGAGGCCCAGGTAAATTCCCCTCTGAGATATAAGAATCCCCTTAGGATTAACAATATTCATGTGCTCTTGACAACTTCCTCTACAAGGACACATTGCCGTATCTCCATTTTTACCACGGCATTAGAAAATGCTGTTACTGGTATGAACCTAGACCTCTGAATCAAATACAGTGTTGCACCAGTGTTTCCTGCAAGAAAGAAAAAAAGGAAGGAAGGAAGGAAGGAAGTATTCTCATCAAGGTTTACTTTTAGCCATCAGGAATGTGAGTTACAACTCATTCTGTCATTTTCTTTATTTAATTCATCATTGTGGAGCACCTACTATGTGCCAAGCTTTGTGCACTCTAAAGAAAAGTAGTGACGGGAATCAGCAGTATGAGGAGTAGGGTGTGAGTGGGTTGCAATTGGTAACAGAGTGGTCCAAACGGATCTCATGGAGAGGGTGACTTCTGAGCATAGAAGGGAAGGAGGTAGCTCTGTCAAAAGCTAAACAATAGTCATAATCACAAGAACAAGCACCTGCTTGGGACTGACTCTACTTGGAAACAAGCCATATAAAGTCCTGACACTGGAATTTAAGCAACGAGCCAGATTTGCCAGCCAAAGCTGCTTGTGACGCAAAATAATAAGGAGTTCTCACATTTCCCGTGATCCACCCCCTGTTTCTTTCCACTTCTAAAGAATTTTTCTAGACTTGTAAACATCAAGATTTAGGAGGCAAAAAGTTCTCCACATAAAACAGAAATCCACCCAATAGAAAGACCAATTTTAAAGCAAAAACAAAAACACACACAGGTTTAAGTTATTCCTGTAACACAATTTGGTTACTACTGGATACCCATCTCATCTTTTCCCTTTTTTTCCCCCAATATTTGGGATCTTCTTACAGTTACATGACCTCAAAGGAGGACATGCTACATAATTTTTGAACCCCAGTACACATTGAAAACGTGTTTCCTTTGCTCAGGAAGTATGCAAAATTTCAAGATGGTAACAGCAAAGCATTAAACTACATTCTGGGTCCTTCTAAGCATTGAGTGACTTCACAGGTCACATGTCCAAGAAGCCGGCCCTACTTCTATTTCCCAGGTTGGCCATTTACATATTTCCCCCCTATTTATTCTACCTATACAAACGAGACACTGAAGACAGTAGCAAGCCAGCTTGGGTGTTGACTACATGTATGTTACAACATTTAGTTTGATCATTGTATTATCTAAAATTCTAAGGACTCTTAAAATAAAGAATGTATAATGCACCATTGTTCCAGCAATCTACCTTGTGGTTAAGGCAAAGTTACAGGAAGAACTTCCAATTTGTCATGAGCATCCAAAGACATTCACATAAACGATGGTGCAAGGAGATATAAGAATCTCCTAAATAAAGAAGTCCTGTGCCAGAATCTTCAAACAATAAAGCCTCCACACAATTTTCCATGGTGCTGTACTGAGATTACAGGTTTCTTCCAGATAGGGAAAGATTTCTTCAAACAAATGTGCAATGCCACATTTCTTTGCCAAACATAATAGCCCACCCACAAAGAAGTCCATGTGATGAGGTATAATAATTATGATAGCTTATTAAGGAAACTGCTTTCTGATAACAGGGAAAGGTTTTCCAGTCTGCTACAGAATGATAATGTTACTCAGCAAGCCCTCTTCTGACCCCGTGAACTTTCTGGACATTACTGGATGGTCAAAGGAAAAGCTGCTTCATTAGAAAACTGATTGAAACAATCAGCATATGTAAGGACCTAACTAGAGTCTAAAGTGCAGCACAATTCAGAGCTAAAACTGAAACAAGATGTCCCCTACTAATCTCCAGTTGCAAATTTCCTAGGTGCTTTTAACATGATTATTATTTTAATTTGTTTAAATGGAAATGGTGTCA